CAGGGTGCATCCACACATTATTAAAGGTCAAAGGGCTTTAAAGCAGTGCAATCATTTTGAAATTTTTATCATTTACTTATTATGCTTCATTAAGTACTTATACAAAATTTTATTAAAATAAAACCATTTAAACTGGGGGTTTCAAATACACATGACATGCAGTACAGCAAAACAATAAAAGATACTCAGTGAAAACCCTCACCGTTTGATCGAACCTTGACCTGAACTTGATATGGACGCCATTCACAAAATCACAACACACAGACACTTCCACCTTTCAACTGTTAGAACAATATAAGAATGAACTAAGAGGGCCTGCTCTTTCTTAGCATTCCAAGTGTCAAGCGATACTTTTACAGGGTGACTCACATGCAGAAAGGTGTCTAAAATATTGTGTATGCTTACACTATCTACTCATGTTATTAATACAGCTAACCTAGATACTATATACAGGGTTACAGGAAAAGCCGTGCTAGATCCGTTAAGGGCGTGTAGTACCCATCATTTCTGACTTATTTCATTATGAAACACCCTACCCTAAACTTAACCCTTTTCGAGATATTCAACTTTTAATGTTTTTATTGAAAATTGCCGATTTTTAGGCTACTAAATGTATTTATTTTTATTTTGTGTGTGTTATTATTACTATTATTGCATTTTAACATGTGTAATAAGATGCTTTAGGACGTCAATCATTAAAATAGTCCATAAGTTAATTGAATAGGCTGTAGTAGATAAGTGAATGTTAAGAAATTGAAAAAAATATCAGAAAGTTTATTTTTCTCTAAGGGATATCTAAAAAAAATATTATGGCAATTGTTCGGCAGATGTGTTTTAAAATATCTATGTTTTATCAGCTATCTAACGAGGTATAACAATCTAGGATTTTATTTAAATGCATTGAAAAAACTTAGTTTCATAGGCGACAGTGGAGAAGAAAATTGATACTTAGCCCTAAAAAGTAAAATAAAACAATAGGTAAGCATGAAATATCATTTATTAAATCAGGTTTTCACACAACTTTTTCTTACTCTACAGTTCATGTTCAACATGGCTGCCTCTGTTTCTAATACATTGTCGCATCCTTCTACGGAGACCAGTCTTTACAATTGCAGTGGTCAACGTTGTCCTTAGTTGATTTGCTGCATCGACAATCCTTTCTCTTAATTCTTCCACAGACGAAACTGGATTTGGCTCGCTGTAGACAAGACTTTTCATGCACCCCCACACATGAAAATCCATGGAGGTTAGGTCCGGACTTCTTGCTGGCCATGGCAACGGCCCACCTCGTCCTATCCATTTGTTTGGATAATTTGTGTCCAGCCAGTCTCTGACACTTCTCCTGAAATGGGCAGGGCAGCCATCATGTTGGAACCACATGTCCCTTCTCAAGTTGAGTGGCAGATCATCCAGCAAATCTCTGAAGTCTCCTCTCAAGAAGTTTTCGTAATTTTCCCCATTTAGATTGTCCGGGAGAAAGTAAGGTCCAATCAAATGGTTGGAGATAATGCCCATCCACACATTCACGCTGAATCTTCGTTGGGACCTCGCCACTCTTTTCTTATTGGGATTCCTTAGTACTTTTGGGGCCCAGTAATGGGCCTTGTGATAGTTAGTTATGCCATCGTTATCAAATTTGGATTCATCTGTCCATAAAATATTTCTTAGAAAATCTGGGTCTTCTACGTCAGCATTTAGCATAAATCTGCTGAAGTCCAACCTTCTCGCGGGGTCTCCTTCTTCAATAGTGTGTACCGGCGTGTAATGGTACGGGTATAGGCCAGCAGTATGCACTGTAAACCACACTCTCCATTGCGAAAGTCCCAGATCACGGGCAACACGATAAGTGGAAATGGTCGGATCCGCTCGAAAGCGTTGCACTATCTCATTGTCCTGCAGTTCTTCGTTGTCATAAATTCGTGGTCTTCCCAGGTCTGTATTTCGTCTCAAAACAGAGCCAGTTTCTCGAAGTCTTAGATAAACTCTGTTAAAAACGGCCACATCCGGCACTCGACGACTGGGGAAGCGAGTTCTGTATTCGTTGCGAGCTTGCGCAGATACACAATCGCAGTATCCGTAACAAATAAGCATATCAGCATATTCCTCAGGTGTGTAGGACGTCATCTTCAACACTTCCGTATCACAAGTACAAATCAGAGTCCAGTGAACATGCACAGTATTCACAAATCAGAAGAAATAGTCCAGAATCGTAGCCAAGTCGAGGAACAGAGCAAAACGATATCACATCTACTATGTACGAAGCACAAAAGCAGACTGACAACCAAAACAACATCCCGTGTTGGATTTCCAGCCCTAACCGGTTATTATAATATGTTCTCTTTCATTCGCACCCACATTAAATCGTCATGTCTCGCTCGCACGGTGCGTCTAAACTTGAAGGAGAATAGGCGTGGGAACTGCTACTGGAGCGTCCCAACTACTTTTTTTCTACGAAATGTAATACAAATCCTAGATTGTTATACCTCGTTAGATAGCTGATAAAACATAGATATTTTAAAACACATCTGCCGAACAATTGCCATAATATTTTTTTTAGATATCCCTTCGAGAAAAATAAACTTTCTGATATTTTTTTCAATTTCTTAACATTCACTTATCTACTACTACTATTCAATTAACTTATGGACTATTTTAATGATTGACGTCCTAAAGCATCTTATTACACATGTTAAAATGCAATAATAGTAATAATAACACACACAAAATAAAAATAAATACATTTAGTAGCCTAAAAATCGGCAATTTTCAATAAAAACATTAAAAGTTGAATATCTCGAAAAGGGTTAAGTTTAGGGTAGGGTGTTTCATAATGAAATAAGTCAGAAATGATGGGTACTACACGCCCTTAATGGATCTAGCACGACTTTTCCTGTAACCCTGTATATGTGAAGTATACACCACTGTTATGTCCTTAAAAAATCGGAAAAGTCCTGGGTTCGATGGTATTAAAAGCGAGCATTTGAAAATTATAGCCGAGGACATAACAGAACCACTCACTTACCCAATCAACAAATGCTTTGAATCTGGCATATATCCCTCAATTTTAAAAAAGGTAATATAATACCGATACATAAATCAGGAACAAAAACAGATGTTAACAACTATAGACCAATATCAATAATATCCAGTGTAGCAAAGGTTTTTGAAAAAGTTTTATCTACTAGAATGATTCGATACCTCACAAAATTCAAAATTTTAAGTGAAAATCAATATGGATTTACAGAAGGGAAGGCTACATCGGACGCAATAACTAAAATTGTAAATCAAATACATCAAAATATTTATAACAGAATCCCTTCAATCTGCATTTTTGTTGATTAAAAGAAAGCTTTCGACACAGTTAATCACAAATTATTATTAGAAGCATTGGAGAGAATTGGTTTCAGAGAAAACGCGTACTCAGTGATCGAAAGTTATTTGTCAAATCGCCCACACTCTGTGCAGATATCAGGATCATTTAGTAAAGAAATGTATATTAAGTGTGGTGTCCCACAAGGAACTGTCTTAGGTCCGATGTTATTCAATATATATTTAAATGATATTTTCCAAATTAATTGTGTTGGCAAAATAACTAGTTTTGCAGATGATACTGCAATATTATATGAAGGCACTGACTGGTCTAATCTGAAAAATGTAACTGAAAATGATTTTATCAAAATTATTCGGTGGTTTAACAGTAGAAAATTAAGCATTAACTACTCTAGAACACATTTTTTACCATTTGGATCTTATGCTAGACATCTACCAAATTACACAAATTTCTCCTTCAATATTAATGATCAAAAAATGCAAATTAATAGAGTGCCCAACATAAAATACCTTGGAGTGGTCTTGGATCCTCACTTACGATGGGACATCCATGTCAATTATATTTTAAGGAAAGTTAGATTTGTATCCTACAAAATTGAATACCTTGGGAATATATTGACAGAAAAATATCTTCGAACATTATACCATGCACTGATTGAGCCTCATCTCACATATGGTATATTAGCATGGGGAGCTGCATGTTCCTCACATACCTATAATTTAGATGTTTTTCAAAAAAGTATTCTAAAAATGATATTTAAAAAACCGAAACTTTATCCCACTGAAAAATTATACGCCGATGTTCGAATGTATGATATAAGACAGCTTTATTTCTTACACAGTATCACTCACTACCATAAATTTGTAAACACCGACCAAAAAATTAAACATAATCATTATACCAGGTACAAAATTCGTGGCACAGTAGTTCCTCAACCGCATAAATCTATAATGCAGCGATCATATCTCTATTTAGCGCCTAAATTTTATGAAATTATACCTAAAGACTTAAAAGATTTACGTTTCGGAAATTGTTTCAAAAATTTAAAAAAGTGGCTACATTCTATATCTAGGACTGAAATTCATAAACTCATAAATAGGAACATCAACTAAATAAATAATCTACTGTAGCTAATTTTTGTCCTTTTTTTCATTTGCATTCTACAGTTTCAACTTAAATTATTGGTCCATGTACAGGCGATGCCTTCTATTGGGCCTGTTTTGATTTTATATTTATTTACTCATATTGTTTGTTATCTTTGTACATTGAGTGAATAAATATTATTATTATTATTATTATTATATTCTCAAAAAACTGTATCAGCATATAGCGTATATTTGGCTACAACTCTGTCTATGAGCATCTAAGCTCTTCAAAGTAGATTTCTGGCTAGTACGAGGAGGCAAAAATTTAGTCTCGTCATCTAACTTGATCTGTTTGTCATTTAACCTGATATTCATGTCATATAACTTCTTCTGTACATTGTGAAATCTTACCATAGCAGTCTTCTACGAGTTTAAAAATAATTGATTTTGGACAAGCCATTCTTCAAGGTTCTCCAAAACGTCATGAAATTTAGTGACCAATACATTATCGTGAGGATCTGAAGTTATGATTGAGGCATCGTCTGCATATAATGTAAGATTGATCTGTTTATTAAAGCACATTTTTTTGTTTCAGGCCTACCCCAACATGCAAACGTCAGCATCAACCCCCTGACGACATATCCACACCCCTACGATAATGGCGCTACTGAACTATTCTTTGCCCTTTTTAGCAACGCCTCACCCCCCTGCAGCATCCTATTATATCCCGCCCCCAGCCCCTACGCAGGAGGGTCCTTATTCCTATCCGCCCCCGCAAAAGCCGTTTTTAAGGGAGGACCTTGGAGGAGGAGGAGGTGGGAGCGGTAAGTTCATGTTTTACATTAAGATTAATGCGTTTTCACTCTGTCTTATTTTACTGCAATCAAAAATGTCGTCAAGTAGACTTAGTTCGTACTGCCTACATATTAGCGACAAGTGAAATATCAGAAAGAGTATTTTGAATACGCTCCAAAATTAAGATAATGTTGAAATATCAATACCAGCGGCTACCTAGTGCACAAGTTTACATTCTACAGATTTTTTTTTATTTTGTCTATGGCAAAAAGTTAATGACTACACACGGATTACAAACTTTTCACGAACTGAGATCGATTTAATAATAATTAATGATTCGAATTTGAGTATTACATATTCCAAAAATAAGTGACCATTCCTGGATATGTATCGAGGTGGAAAATATGTTTAATGAGAGAGAATCAAGAGAAATCACAATTATTGACTTTGAAACGTCACTCTTACAAGCCAATATCACTGAAATCTGTCTCACATACAAAGTTACTTGTAATTCTTCTATGAGAAAATTCTAAACAATAAATATCAGCCATCTTTCAAAAGGGATTACAAGATTGAAATCGAATAAAAATCCTAGTGAACATCTTTCAAAAATGGTTCTGAAGAATGGAGGAGAAATATGGATGAAAAAAGTTTACAGTAACATTGTTCTTAGATTTCAAGAGAGCATTTGAGACTATTGACAGGGAGAAATTGTTAACGAAATTGCATTGCTATGGATTTCAAGGTTCAGTACTCAACTTATTGCAAAATTATTTAATCAATAGAAATCAAAGAACTAAAATTGGCAATACATTATCAAACATTAAAAACATTTCGGTAGGTGTGCCACAGGGTAGCAAATTAGGCCCATTACTATTTATTTTATATATTAACGATATTCTTGATATTTTACAACACTGCAAAATTCAACTATTTGCTGATGATACATTAATATATATATATATATATATATACTAAGTGGCATATAAATCCGAACACCCAGTTTAAATGGTTTTATTTTAATAAAATTTTGTATAAGTACTTAATGAAACATAATAAGTAAATGATAAAAATTTCAAAATGATTGCACTGCTTTAAAGCCCTTTGACCTTTAATAATGTGTGGATGCACCCTGATGTGCTACGCATTCTCCAACGCGCCTAGGCATGCTTCTGATCAGGTGGTCAATGTCCTCCTGTGGTATCTCATTCCAGGCAACCACCAACTCCTCTCGAAATGCTTCTAGAGTCTGAGGAGGACGTTGCAAATTGAGCAATCTCCTACCCATCATATCCCACACGTGCTCAATTGGGGATAAGTCGGGAGATCTTGGCGGCCATGGTAACAATGTGACATCATTATGTTGAAAGAAGTCTATTGTGACTCTTGCAACATGTGGTCGGGCATTATCTTGTTGGAAAGTTGGATCTGCCAGGGTGTCAAGATAGGGTAAAAGATGGGGTTCTAGAACTTCGTGGATATAACGCTGCGCGTTCATGTTACCTCTGATGAAGATTAAAAGTGACCTGGAACCATAAGCTATAGCACCCCAAACCATAACTCCAACAGTGTGATGAACATGTCTTTCAACAAAAAACTGTGGATTCCTCCTTTCACCACGTCGCCTTCTAACCCTGGCACGACCATCGTGCATGCCTAAACAAAATCGAGACTCGTCACTAAAGACAATACTGTTCCATTCCTGATCCCAGAGTGACCGTTGTCTGCACCACTCAAGGCGATTACGTCGGTGTTCTCGAGTTAAAGGGAGGGCCCAGTGTGGCCGGTATGAAAACAAGCCAAAACTTCTCATTCGTCGGTAAACCCTTCGCATGCCAATAGGTCTTCCGTGTTCTGCAAACCATTCATTTGCAATGGGCCTGGTAGTGGAGAAACGGTCCCTTAAGGCCAATAATCTTAGGCGGCGATCTTCACGGTCTGTTGTTCTACGGCGGCGTCCAGTGCCCCTTGCTCTTTGCGTACGGCCTTCTCGAAGCCATGCCTGACAACACTTAACCACAGTGTCTACACTTCTTTGCACTCTAACTGCAATTGCCCGAAAAGAAAGTCCAGCTTCCCGAAGTCCCACTATACGGCCCCTATCAAACTCACTAAGTTGACGAAATCGTACAGGTCTCCGTACTCTAGGCATCGTAACCGATCGTAAAGGATGTCAAGAACCAAAATCCGCCAACGTTGATTCTTTACTGCGGCTGAAATATTCATTTTTAGAGCGTTAGTGAATTAAAAAAAAGCAGTATAAAAATCGGAATGTCCAACTGATAAGGCTGAACATTTTTTCACTTGTTATTTACAGTAAGATAAATACATTCACCAACTTTTATTAAAATAAAACCATTTAAACTGGGTGTTCGGATTTATATGTCACTTAGTATATACAGGGTGTTCCATAATTATTGCGACAAAATGATAGGGGTTGTAGAGGGCATCAAAATGAACAATTTTGCCTTATAAACCCCTGTTCGGAAATATGCCGTTTGGGCTGCAGCAAAAAAAAAGATCAGTTTCTTGAAACAGTAATTGCTCAAAGTGTCCTCCACCTTGCTCAATACACAGCTGTGCACGATTGTTCAATGATCGGCGAACTCTGTGGCATACCCCCGGTATGTCCTGAACATGTGCGGACTCTTCCCAGTAGCTCTTGTTGGTTGGGAACAGGAGTTTCGGACACTAAAGCTTTCAGGTGGCCCCAGAGAAATTAATCCATTGGGGTCAAGTCGGGTGACCCCGCAGGCCAACGCACAGGGCCACCTATTTGGAAATTTGTCGTCCAAATACTGCCGCACTTGTAAAGAAAAGTGGGCTGGAGCGCCATGGTGTTGAAACCACATGTTGGCTCTTATGTTCAGTGGCACATTTTCTAATAGTTCTGGTAGCACATGCTGTAAGAATCGACCATAAGCATGCCCATCCAAATGTGGTGGAAGCAAATATGGCCCGATGATATGCTCGTCCACAATGCCGCACCAGATGTTAATTGAAAACTGATGTTGGTCTCTATGGATGGCTATGGCATGAGGGTTTTCTTCATCCCAAATGTGACTGTTACGGCTATTAAAATAACCGTCCTTTGTAAAACAGGTCTCGTCAGTGAACAAAACGTAGCGACCAAAGTTTGGTTGCCTCAACTCCTGCTGCAGCCACCAACGACAAAAACGTCGACGCGGCAGATAAGTCTTCTGGACCCATGGCTTGGACTTTTAAAAGGTGGTATGGGTGTAGTTGCTCGTCATGGAAAACCCGCCAAACAATAGTTTGAGACGCTCCCATATCATGTGCAATAGCACGCACGCTTGTACGCGGATTGGCCTCTACATGATGCAGAATCGCTTCCTCAAATTCTACTGTGCGCCTCGTGAAGGGCCGCCATGCTCCCGCGAGGTGTCTGATGCTGCCACTGACACGAAGACGTCCATGAATCCTTGCAAAAATGACATGATGCGGATGAGGACGTTCTGGAAACAGTTGGGCGTAGATTCGCGAGGCTCGTCTTCCGTTACCACCAGCTTCTCCGTAAATTAAATACATATCCGCAAGTTCCGCATACGAATAACGCTGCATTTTAACACTAAGGTACTGTTATTTACCTAGTTTGACGCACCACTCAGATAAATTACATGAATCGGTGTGGAGAATTTACGATAACAAAAATGTAAACCGGCGAGACCATGAAATGAAATGTGCTAGACGAACATTTTGCAGCTGGTGAATTTTTTGTTTCTCCTATGAGCTCTTAAGGTAAAATTAGCGGTAGTGCTCAAACGGCATATTTACGAACAGGGGTTTATAAGGCAAAATTGCATATTTTTATGCCCTCTACAACCCCTATCATTTTGTCGCAATAATTATGGAACACCCTGTATATATATATATATATAACTTGAGACGTGGTCATTGTCGTCTAGACCAGTTAGGTGGAAAATTAAAGCTTCCGCCTTTTGTTGGGTACTTCGACAAAATTTAAGCAAAGAGGACTCTTTATACTTTTTTTAATTCTCTCTAGCTTTCAATGGACTTTGCCATCATCATCAGGAGCTGCAATTACAATGATAACAGTAGCGTATATATATATATATATATATATATATATATATATATCAAATAAAGAAAATATTGAAACTGCAATAGAACTGTTAAATAATGATATGAAAAACGTAATAAATTGGTTAAATGTAAATAAACATAAACTAAACACAAAACAAAATATATGCTAATAGGAGAATCTTTAGATCAAAATACGATAAATCTTACAATTACTAAAAAAATTGTTTCAATCGAATCATTAAAATATTTGGGCATATACGTAGACAGTAAATTAAAATTTGAAGGGCTCTATGAATATATTATTTCAAAAATATCCAAAAAAATAAATTACTATCATAGAATTTCGCATAGTTTATTCTAAAAAATTGTGTACAACACTATCATTCTTCCCCATTTGTTATATTGTTCGACTATTTTGTTCACTGCAAATGAAACTGTATTTACAAAATGACAAATATTACAAAATAAAGCTATGATAATCATCTTAAATAAAAATAAATATACTAGAATAAATTTTATGCTGAAAGAACTACAATGGTTAAATATCAAACATTTCATAGCCTACTTGGTTTTCATTTTCATATTCAAGTTGAAAAATCATCTTCTACCAAATCACTTAGAAAATTTGATTGTATTGAACAATGAGTGCCACAATTATTCTACTAGAGGAAGTATAGACTTTCATTTACAAAACTGCAGTAGCAATATAACGACAAGTCAGTATTTCAAAAGGGATTGTACGAACTTAATTATCAACGTAATGATATCAACATGTGTGTCAGTTTGAAAATGTTCAAAGGGAAAATGAAAAAATATCTCATGGAAAACCAGAATTCATAGTAGTGATATTTTGTATAAAAATATGTAGTCTTAAAGACATAATATATTTTGTGATATTCTGTGTAATATGGATATTATGGACATTGTACCATTAATGCTAAATAAATCTGAAACAAAAAAAAATAACGCTGCGAGAAACGAAGTTTGGTGGCGTTGTGAGATTTTTCGTTATTTATTACTGGACTAAGTTTTAAAAACTGCCAAGCTCTCTTGTTCTTGGCATCATAATTTGGCGACAAGTAGATTGACTCAGTGCCTCCCACTCATTAATGATAAATGAGATGTAAGAAATGCCCAATTTCAGAACTTCTGAAGTCGACAAAATATTTTGGGTACGCCTTGAAGTGATCAGATAGTTGGAGCTTGTCTGAATAGTAGTATTTTGAAAATATGGAAATCGTCAGAAAAAATTTTGGCTAGACCAAAAAGTTATCAGAAACACGAAAAACGAAAACCTCCATGTTTGTTTGGTAAATGATACCGCATATGATTGAAATATTATTTACTGATACTTCGATGCAACGGTACAAATTTAATTTTAGGATTGTTCTTGAAAAAAGACATGAATTATTAACGTGAAAACCATAGGGTAAGTTTTAAGTGTCACATTATCGAAAAATAAATTTTGGAGAAGTTCTGAATCTTAGTTATTCGCTTTTGGATCGAATTCCAAAATATAATTTTTGTCTTTGGCATGCTGGTCATCTTGTTTCACGATTTCACCAAAATCGAGCAGTAAAGTGTGATATAATAGACAAAATAATGCTTTAATGCTGATGATTGTAGTACCTACTTCTCAAGTACTGAATCTGTATTGTTGATAAGAAAATCCGAAGTGCAGATATTCTGTTTTTGGATTATATACGATAGGAAAAGCTATGCTTCATTCTGTTCCTGTAGCTTTACTGTTACTGGATCAAGTTTCTAAACCCAGAAACCTTTTCGTCCTTGATATGGTGGTATTCTTGTGTCAAGGTTTCATAAAATTGCGAGCGGTACTTTCCGAGTTTTAGTTTTTCGTGATATTCGTCATATAAACACATACCTACACATATTACGTAAATATCGAAATTTTCTGCTACAACGTTTCCTCGCCGTCCAAACTAAGTCAAAAGCGCCCGTGCTATGCTTTTCCATTTTCGTTGATTTTTGGGTGTTGTCAAAATATTATTTAAGAGAATTGTTATTGAAATATGCTTGACTCCATTTTTTAAGATCCAAAAGGGGTAAATTTTGTTTAATAAGTAAATACCATTTTTCCTCTTAGGCACATGAGGCGAGAGGAGAATTATTGTAATCTCGAATATTTTTTTGTGAAAAACCGTATTACTCTTTTTCGTCTGTGTGTCATATGTCCAGGAACTCTAGATCTATCTGCAACTCCGAAAATTTTTCAATAAAGAAGATGCTTTGTAGATTTTTAAAAATGCCTCCCTTGAGAAGTTATAGCGAAAATCCAAAAATTTCAGAACGTTCTTAAATATTGATTTTTCGATGTTTTTTTAGTTTCTGATAATTTTCAGGCCTAGTCAGGAAAGCATTTTTGAAGCAGTAAAAATGTTCGAAAAATTCCGAACAAACATTTTAGAGAGCTAACGGATCTATAAATCAAGAATATCTCATATACAGATATCACTTATTTCGATTACAATTTTTATACCTAAAATGTAATATGTAGATCAGTAAAATGATAAATAGATTGAGTCAATGCATGATATACTGCTAATTGAATGTCAATATTTGAGGAGGCGGTTTTTGGGTTCATTATAAGAAAACAAATTCGTATGAACGTTCGTCTTAAGCGTCTTATCTTTTGACATACATTGTGATAAAGTTTTCAAAAATTAAACATTTATTATTAATATCTTAAATACTACTTTAGATATTTCGATAAAGTGTCGCATATCACGCAGGTACGAGGTATTTTTAAATGTACTATATTTTTATAAATTTCACCAGTGGCCTTCGCATAGATAACACCAGCCCGTTTTGGCAGACATTGATAGTGCGCCACTGGTTTCTCTTGAAGTAAAAAATATTATTGACCTTCCCAGTTATTTCTAAGCAAATGTGCGGTTTTCGCTGAAAAAAATTAAAACTGTTACTCTGCATTACCAGAACAACGTCGCTGATATAAAAATATCACCAGGCTGAGAAATTATTTTTTAAATGAAAAAACCGGGCGCCACCCTTCAGATAAAGTTTTCTCATAAATTAATACAGATTTCATTTTTTTATTTTAAGAAAAGTCATTGGCGTGTTACTGACTATATTGAAAACTTTGCCACCCTGTATCTCAAAATTAAAGATGTTCATATGAAGTTATCATCTTAATCACCGCTTTAAATACTGCCGTTCAATTAGGAAACACCCTGTATACCAAGACAGTCGACTTGATACGATGTTTTTTTCCTTTCAGGAGGCCATAATGGAGGCGCCCCGATACCTCCCCCTCCCTATCCCCCTTACGGAGCTCCCCCACCCCCTAAGGGACCCACTAAATCCCATTCGCACGCCAACGTCGACTACGGCGACTACGATGACGAAGACAGTGGCGTGCCGGTAACCCCTATTCAGGGTCCGATATTTATAAAGAACGGTTCAGTGCCTGTGGTGCCGTTGTATTCGTATCCTGTGCTTAGTAATGGTACTTTTGTGCATATACCGGTAAGTTATTATATTATTTTTTATCATTTATTGCTTAAAAGATTGTTTGGAACATAACCTTTCTTTACACTAAATCACCATTGGCCGCTGAATTAGGGACGTGATAATTTGGCCAACTATTATATTTTTATCAACATTGCCTAACCTGAGTGGGCATTTACATTATTGCCCGGTCTTGCAGAGATAAGAGCGTGTAATTTTTAAATTATAAAATTTTCGTAAATAGCTTATCAGGGGAAATAGTTGAAGCACTATGTATAAAATCAAATATCAGCAGTAGCTCTTTTTTTTAGTGCGGGCCAGATGGCCTTCTGGGACCCTTCTTATTATAAAATCTACAATGCATCGAAAAATCTGTACGTCTTTACTCGACTACTGGACATCGAGTCGTGGCATAAATGATCCTAATAGTATCATGACAGCAAGTAAAATCCGTTCACCTTCATAATGCAGTATTTATTCGTTGCGTACCATTTAATTCTAGCGTTCTATCATAGCTTAACCTTTCATATGAGATAAATGTACAAACTCTATCATTGCAGTCGTTTGCAACAAATGCATGGGCGTACATCAAACCGTTTCTATTTTAATATTATTATTGCGATAACGGAACGATAACCTATATAACAATATAACAATGGCACTTGAACCAAAAAGCAGTAGCTCTCATACTTCTTGACTTTACTAAAGCATTTGACACCATTAATCACTCACTTCTTGTGTCTAAATGCATTTATTATGGATATTCTGAAAAACCTCTTTCGTTTATTCAAACCTACCTTGAAAATCGGTATCAAAAAGTTCGTCTAAATCAACAGTACTCTACCGAACAAAAAATTTGTTCTGGGGTACCACAGGGATCACTCTTAGGACCCCTATTATTTTCATTATATATCTCAGATTTAAAAACAGAGGTAAAATCATGCAGCATACAATTTTTTGCAGACGATACTCTAATTTTCTATTCATTTAGGAGTAATGACTTGGAAACAGCAAATAATAAAATTAATCGAGATCTTGCCCAAATTGAAAAGTTCGGTAGTAGTCATAATCTTCGTTTGAACCCTTTGAAGACAAATATGTTGGTATACGCAAATATAAGAGAAAGAATACTTTAAAAAAGAACATAGACATACATTTAAAAGGTAATAAATTAGTTTCTGTGGATCATTCGAAGGACCTAGGTATTATAATGGATGATGACTTAAAATTTGTTGTACACGTAAACTATATATTTTCTGAGTTCTGCGCTATTCTCAGAGTTTTATTTGCAAATAAGGCTATATTAGATAAATCTGCGAGAAAGCAATTGTGTGAATCTTTCTTGTATTCAAAAATATCGTATTGTTTAGTGGTTTACTATCCCTATTTAGATATTATAACAAGAAATCGTATTCAAAGTATAATAAGTGACATATAAATCCGAACACCCAGTTTAAATGGTTTTATTTTAATAAAAGTTGGTGAATGTATTTATCTTACTGTAAATAACAAGTGAAAAAATTTTAAGCCTTATCAGTTGGACATTCCGGTTTTTATACTGCTTTTTTTTAATTCACTAACGCTCTTAAAATGAATATGTCAGTCACAGTAAAGAATCAACGTTGGCGGATTTTGGTTCTTGACATCCTTTACGATCGGTTACGATGCCTAGAGTACGGAGACCTGTACGATTTCGTCAACTTAGTGGGTTTGATAGGGGCCGTATAGTGGGACTTCGGGAAGCTGGACTTTCTTTTCGGGCAATTGCAGTTAGAGTGCAAAGAAGTGTAGACACTGTGGTTAGGTGTTGTCAGGCATGGCTTCGAGAAGGCCGTACGCAAAGAGCAAGGGGCACTGGACGCCGCCGTAGAACAACAGACCGTGAAGATCGCCGCCTAAGATTATTGGCCTTAAGGGACCGTTTCTCCACTACCAGGTCCATTGCAAATGAATGGTTTGCAGAACACGGAAGGCCTATTGGCATGCGAAGTGTTTACCGACGAATGAGAAGTTTTGGCTTGTTTTCATACCGGCCACACTGGGTTCTCCCTTTAACTAGAGAACACCGACGTCATCGCCTTGAGTGGTGCAAACAACGGTCACTCTGGGATCAGGAATGGAACAGTATTGTCTTTAGTGACGAGTCTCGATTTTGTTTAGGCATGCACGATGGTCGTGCCAGGGTTAGAAGGCGACGTGGTGAAAGGAGGAATCCACAGTTTTTTGTTGAAAGACATGTTCCTAAATCTGACTCATAAGGTTCTTTATCCAAAAACACCGTCATATTCAGTAAACAAATTCATACGTAGAGGGAATATGCATGGTATTAATATTAGATATAGAGAGACTTTTTCAATTCCACGCCACAGCACATCTCTATTTCAGAATACATATATTGACAATGCGATCAAATCAACTAATTCTTTACACCGCAGTTTAAAAGAAACCAATCCATTACCCAAATTCAAGCAGAAAGTAAAAGAAGCTCTACTTGATCATCAGCGAAATCTGTTGTAACCCATAAGTGTCCTCATATTTTCCTTATGCCTTTACTTAGATTATACTTCATTCTGTCGTTATTGTATACAGGTATTAATGTTCAACAAATTCTGTTCTTTTTACATCTCGTATTGTTAAGGGCGTTAGATGGTAGAATAGATATATTATCTAAATCTCGCTTCCTGTAAGAATATTACAAATAAAAGACGTTAATTGTTATTATTATTATTATTCCGACTTTCGGTCAAACCTTGAATTTGAAGGTTATAGATTTCAAAGCCTAATTGTTATTCGACAAATAAAACACTGCTTTATTTGTATCTTATATTTCTTAGACATTTATTATTAAAAGAACATTATCTACTAAATTTATATACCTGCTTGTGTTATTATTATTATTATTATTATGATAATTGAGATGGGCAGAGTACACAGTACTATGAGCTCATGCAGTAAATATAATGTACGGACACGTAACACAAATACTTCAAATAGAAAAAAAATAAAAGAAGACAGTTCATAGCTATAAAGTTTGTACACTCCTCCAGCTATCATACTGCACTTTGAGGCTATTAACTGAAGTAGCACCAACCACACTTTCAGGTAAACTATTCCAGGTGTTGAATATGCGGTTGGGAAGAAACCACTGTCGGACTGTTGTTTTAAATGGCTCCTTATACAGTTTGAAGCTGTGTCCGCGTAGATTGCTGCGCGACAGACGGTATAGATGCATGAGGTTGGTGCCCATCAAACCATGAAGTATCCTGAACGTAACTATAAGATCGCCACGAAGTCTTCGCTCAGAGAATGAGGTCAGGTTGAATAATTCAAGGCGATCTTCATAGCTTGGTCTTCGTGCTCCAAAAGGGATACGAGTAGCCCGACGCTGTACTGATTCGACGAGAATTCTATCGCGCAGAAGCACAGTGTCCCATACCGGGCCAGCGAATTCAAGAATTGGCCTCACGAATGCCTTGTAAATGTAGGCGCAAGTGTTGACATCGGATCCTTTGAAAGACCTCTCCAGCATGTATAGAAGTTTCTTGGCTTTTGATGTAACGTGGTGAATATGCTCTGACCAGGAAAGACGATCGTTGACTACAACGCCCAGATCAGTGTGCTGGAAACTGCTTCGATGTTGTGGTCAGAGATCTTGTATGTAAATCGCGGATTTGTCTTCCCGAGGTGAAGGACATAACACTTAGTTAGATTTAAGGGTAAAAGCCAACTGACTGACCATTGACAAACAATATCAAGATCTCGTTGAAGCATAGCAGAATTTACGACAGTATTGTAAATCTTGGTGTCGTCGGCATAAGCTGAACATGTGGAGGAAATCAATGCGGGAAGGTCACTTGTATACAGAAGGAACAGCACTGGCCCCAAGACAGAGCCTTGAGGAACTCCACTTGCTACATGATGAAGGTGAGACTGGCTATCACTGACGCGCACAGAGAAAGTCCTCCCGGTGAGAAAAGCCTTAATCCACAGTAACAACTCGCCTCTTATTCCCATACATTCCAACTTAAACAGAAGTCTTCTATGTGGTACGCGATCGAAAGCCCTAGAAAAATCTAACTAAATTATATCAACAGGAGTCTTTGTGTCCAGATACTGAGTCCAATCGTTGAGAGAGTGGAGAAGGTTGGTCATTATTGATCGACCAGGGAGAAATCCATGCTGATTCTTAGGGATAAGGTCATTTTCGAAAGCAAATGACAGGAGCTTATCTAATATGATTCTTTCAGCTATTTTGGCGGCGATAGGAACGAGACTTATTGGTCGATAATTTTTAGCGGAGGATTTGTCGCCCTTTTTAAATACAGGGGTAACAGAAGCACTAAGCCAGCATGAGGGTAGGGTATGAAATCTAAAAGACGATGTGAATATCAAGCTTAATGGTAGGGCCAGTGCTGAAGAGCAGTTTTTAAGTACAGCAGCCGTCATCCCATCTTTACCAGGGGAGGAGGAGGTCTTCAGATTTCGCAGGTGCATTAATACATCTTCAGGCAGGAACTCAACTTCGCAAAGGCTGTTGGGACACCTATGGCAGATGGTGGTCGGTAGAAGGTCTCCATTAGGCTCATCGACGAAGTCATCACTAAAGGACTCTGCCAGTAAGTTGGCAGATTCGGTGGCATCCATGTGGAGATGACCGTCAGCGTCGCGGATCTGAGGTGATGAAACTTTGGAATTCAGGTTTGTTCTTAGATACCGAAACAGCTTCTTCTTATTTTTGGAGGTAACGAGTTTTCGTTCGTAAGCATGTTTGGCATTATGTAACGTTCTAGATAGGAAGTTAGAAAAGGATCGATGAGACACGTATTCTTGTGAATGGCCACTCCTCCTAAACCGTTGCCACAAAGATCTCTTGTGACGAAGCATCCTCGATATGTTAGAGTTGATCCAGGGCTTTGAGGGGTCACAGTATACCTTCTTTTCAACAGTATTGTCAGCCGTTTCGCTTAGGTCTCGTTGAGCGAAAGTGTCCCACATATCTTGGGTGCTACGGTTGTTAAGCAAAGCAGGCCAGTTGACTTCATCATCCACATCAGCAGTGATTAAGCCATTATCTCGACTGTTCTTTCTGCCGTATCGTTAACTGCTCTCAGTGCTTGCACCTTATTCTTAGCGTGTTGAAAAGAATCATTATGAGGCCATGAAGTTGGACACTGGACGAGAACAATGTCAAAAATTCTTGTAGCAACGGTTCTCATGCAATTCTAATAGATTACACAAGAAGAAAATTTTGCAAAACTTTTGCCTCCTTCTTTCCAGTCCACAGGGTTTAGACAACTGTTTTCTGTTAGGCAATCAATCATATAGATCAGATCGTTCTTTTAAAATCTCG